TTTTTTTTTTTTTGTTCTAAGGAAAAATAAAATAAAATCATGAAATGGAACCAAAAGCAAGGAAAAATAAAATAAAATCATAATCTAAAAGAGCTAAGGAAAATCATCCATTAAATTTATGCAAAGCAAAGAGGAGGAAAATGAAAATGAAAAGAGTGATCATCAGATAAAATTAATCAAAACAAGAGTATATGAATTATGAATTATATATATAATAGATGTACACAAACACAGAGAAAAATCCCAACCGAAAAATGTAAAGCAAACAGACACAAAAAATAACATGAGCACACACACTGTATCTTCAACATTTTAATTACTGGTATACCAAACACCCACCTCTCCAAGCCAGAGAATTAAAAAGAATTCAAAAGATAAAAAAAAAAATGGAGTTAAAAAAAAAAAAATTCGAACACTTATTACTTATAATAGTCGACGAAACAATTTTTGTTGCTCAGCTCCTGCACCGGGTGATGCGGCTGCATCCGCGGCGGTAGGGATTAGCCTGCGCCCCCGGCCGGCAGTTGTAGTACGACGCGCCGCGCCTCGAGCACGGGACTCTGTTCCTCTGCAGCGCACCGTAGCTGATGTACCGCCTGCCGGCTAGGACGCGCCGGGCCGACTCCGAATCCAGCGCGAACTCCTCGTCCTCGTTCTCTAGGCACTCGCCGACGGTCCCACTGCATCCGGATCTCGCCGGATAAATCAGCCAACCGGCCGCCGCCTCATGGTCCCCACCGGCCGACGCCTGGGAGAGCAGGAGGGACGCGACCGCGACGAGCGCCAGCAGCATTTTCCAAATCACGGCCATTGATCGGAAGCGGGTGAGCTGATCTCGAGATCTGAACTCTTTTGCTCCGATGAAATAATTATCGCTTGTGTGTTTGTGGGCTCGTGTTTCTCTCTCTCTCTAGAGTTCTTCCTGCTTTTTGTGGGGATGGATGGATGAGAGAGAAAAAGCTAGGTAACAAACGGCTAACAGCAAATGCCAGTAGGGAAAGGGTGACTGACGATCTGTGTGTGTATATAGGAGAATGCTACCATCCCGTTACGAGATGGTTCCGTTGTGTTTTCTAGCCATAGATATACATGTAATCTAGTGATGGATAGTTAATCCAACGCTTAAAAATACAACGGAACCATCCCGTAACGGGATGGTAGCATTCTCCGTGTATATATATATATATGTGGGAAATAAAGGGGCTTAGGGTGTCAATATATAAAATTTCACAGATATTTTATGAGTAATACAAAATTTAAGTATGTTGGGTAAATCAACCAAACATAATTATTACTTTACAATATTATTTTAATTGTTTTATTTTAAATATTACTTTAAGATCACTTCAAAATCCCACTAACAACTAACTATACAATCTTTTTCCAAATTAAATCTACTTAACCAAAACAATACACTTTGAGTGAAATTTTTTGTACTTATATACAAATATATCCGTTCAAAATACATTTTTTTATGGAGTCGAGACAGCCCTTCAGATGCCGACTCTAGTTTAATTATTTATTGCTATTATTATTATTATTATTATTTATATTATTAGCATTTAAATATTTATTAGTCATTAATTTTTATGCTTTCAATCATTAGCAATTAGTATTCTAACAATTTTTATATTGTATTCATTCACACGGTATAAATATTCCTTCCATAATCTAATTTTTTTCCACACATTTTAATCTATTTTTATTTATATAGAAGGGAAAAAAAAAAGGCAATAGGTCCTTCATAATGGAGGCAGGGGTGTATGGCGTGGACGCGTTTCGGTGGATACTGCCAATTACCAAAATGACACTATAGTTGGGCTTTTTTTATTTTATTATATTAATGGCTGTCCACTACTTTTCTTCTACCTTTAGTGCGTGCCTTTTTTTTTTTCTTTATTTGTTTGTTTTGAGTTTTGTTGAGAGGGTACCCACTACTTGTGTTGCAAAAATTAGATAAAATGGATTTTTTGGGTGAGAAAAAAAAAATAAAAAAAAGGTGTGAAAATGACCGTTGAGATTGAGAACTAACAATGGAGTTTTCCCAATGCTTGCTGCTTTGTAAAAAGCCAAACGTGAGTTGGAGTCTTGGAGCTGGTTTTGGACTATGGAGAAAGACTAGAGCGTGTTTGTATACAAAATTTTCACTCAAAATTTTATTTGTTACGAAATTATCTTTAACTTTAACTCAATTTCAATGTTCTTCATATTATCAATATAATTAAATAATATTATCTCATTATTCTTGCATATCCATCTGTTTTAATTTACTATTTATCGACTTACATAATCTTTTTTTTTTTTTGGTACAAAAGAGGAGGCCAGAGCCTAAGCAAGGACTTGTCCGGGATAAGACACCTCGATATTATCGTGCTCAATCCACGATCCTAAACCAGCAATAGAAGAAAGAACTCGATGCAACCCAGTCGGATAGGATGCTGCCACACTGGCCATATGATCCGCCGCGAAATTCGCTTCTCGATGGACGTGTGTAATTCTCGCAGTCCATTGTCGGTGTAATAGGTCCCGAATTGCCTTAACCATAAAGTCATGAGCGCCAAAGGAGTCGTTAGAGCTGCAGACCATTTTTGTAACACACTGACTATCAACCTCGACCAAAACCTTACGATAGCCTAACTACCACGTCAAAAGCAAACCCTGAAAGAGACACCATAGCTCGGCGCCCGTAATGGTACAAAGACCAATATTCATCACAAAACCACCCAACCACTTGCCTAACTCATCGCGAATTAGTCCTCCCGCACTACTCAAACATGTGCTATTATCAAACGCGCCATCCGTATTAAGCTTAACCCACCCCGATACGGGGGGGTCCATCTAATCGATCGAGTCTCATACGTAGCAGACCCGACCTTAGTGTAACCCCCGACAGCCCTTGTGTAGCTTTCCGTCAGGCGTAAAATATCTGCCACACGAGCATCGCTGCTAAGGATTTTTTGCAAGAAAATGCGTTCATTCCTGCAACGTCCACATGCGCCACACCGCGATCAGAAAGAGACTATTCCATCTTTCAACACTCCTCAGCCGAGGCTTCAATAAATTTTTTCTCAGCCACACATTGAGAGGAAGCTCATAGTACTCACGCTTGTGATCAGCCGACACCAACATGTCCCACAGAGGCTTTGCAAACGAGCAATCCCTTATGACGTGAAGTACCGACTCACATTCACCACAATGATCACACGCTGATGAACTCGAAATATGTCGTCGGGCTCGCTCAAGGTTGGTGAGGAGGCGTTCTTTTGTGATAAGCCACAGAAATGTCCGGCTTGTTTGAGGCGCACTAGCCCTCCAGATTAATCTACATAGCGAGCGGTCATGATCTGATGCACGAGAAGAAAGCGCCCTATAAGCAGTTCTAGTTGAGAACCTTCCATCATCAGAGTACCCCCAAATAATGCGATCTTCATTGGCCGTTTCTCGCGGGGGTAGAGTGCCCGCTATCCGGATGATCACAACCGAAGGTTAGATGCCGTTGAAGCACTCCCACCTCCAGTTGCCGCGAACATCCACGAGGTCTGCCACTTTTGAAAAGAGATTACATAATCTTAAATAACCATCACTTTATATCAACTCTCTGTTGCTTTTTCATCAAATCAATTTTAATTATTTATTTTAAATATTACTTTAATATAAATCCAAAATCTTACTAACACCTAACTATAAAATCTTTTTCTAAATTAAGTCTACTTAACCTAAACAATCCACTTTAAGTGAAATTTTTTTGTAATTGATACAAATATGTCCGTTCAAAATGTATTTTTTATGGAGACGAGATCGCCCTTCAGATGTCGACTCTTGTTTAATTATTTATTGCTATTCTTATTATTTTTATTATTAGCATTTAAATATTTATAGATTATTAATTTTTATGTTTAGTGGACAAGTTAGTATTAGGGTTTTGGGAGCCTTATTTAAAGGACTCCTCATCTTTCGTAAAGAGCTGTTGATTTTGGATTAAGGAAATACGTATTCAAAATTTAAATCTATTCTCTTTATACTCAGTCGTACGTTGCGCTACACCAGGTATCAGCAGTAGGGATGATTCACGATGACGCCATGACGACAAGATGCTGCAAACGGACGACGTGATGCCGCTGTCGACGAATTGAATCGGCAAGTTGAGGGCTTTGACCGCTGGTTCACCTTATAGACAATAGATTTGCGGATCATTCGACGGGGATCGAGGACTTTCGTTAGACGCTCCATACTATGGTTCAGGACGAGCAAACGAACCGCGACATGACTGGGGGCTGGGGCAGTCGCGTGGATTCAGAGGTGGGCCTAGTAGATGTGGCTTTGCCAATGGTCCCCACCACCTCTGACCGGTGAAGAGGATGACGAAGACACATGGTTTGAAGTGGAACCTTTCGGCATTTGTCAGGCCCGGTGGGAGGGCGATGACGTTGGCGAGTTTCGCAATCGTGAGCAGCGCCGCGCTGACGAAGGTTTCGATGCTGATAGGGGTTGTGATGTGTGGCACGTCGATGACGAGTTCAGTGGCTTCCAGGGCCACGATGCGCAATAGGGGATCGAGGGTTTCACCGACTTCAGGGGTCGCGATGTGAGACGAGGTGTCGATGGCTTCTGTCGCCACGTGCGACGGGAATATGCGGATGTCGGGGACCACCGTCCATGCGAGCCTCAGTGGGAGCCCGAGGGCTTCAGAGACTCACGCTGGGAGAACGTGTTTTGGGTGGAGATCCAAGAATTTTTCGTGGTTGGACGCGGTCAAATTCCTCAACTGGTGGGTCACCATCGAATAAATCCTCGAGTACAAGAACATTTCGAAAGATCTTCGAGTGACGCTCGTCGCAATAAGACTGTGTCGTCAGGCGACCGCGTGGTGACTGCAACTCAAAGGCGCGCAACATCGTCAAGGAAAACTGAAGATCTTTTCTTGGACGAAGTTCCGTAAGCATCTCGACCACAAATTCTTGCTTTTTAATTAGGTTCTTTCGGAATATCAACAATTACAAAGTTTGAGGCAAAGGCAACATTCGGTTGATGAATACACGAGAGAATCTCCTCACGCGTGTTGATGTCCCAAAAATTACGGACCATCTTTCGCGTTATATTTGTGGTTTGCGTACCCTTGTTCAAGATACGCTAAATTTTTTCATCAGGAATTCGTGTCGGACGCCCATCAACGGGCTGTGCTTGTCGAAAAGCAACAATCGCGCCGCCCCAACGAGTCTTTTATCCCGGGCGCCCGATCGGGTCTAAGCAGTGGCACATGGGCTTTGGTTTCAGCATCGGGCCACACACCTTTCGCTGCTATGAGCGTACAAATAGCAGACGCTTTAGTTTCTAGCCATACACCGGCATCGAGCTCGGGCATCTCGACAACGATAACATGTGCCTCGAGTGGACTCTAACCTATCGGCGGGTTGTGCTGCTTTGCATGCGCCGAGATAGGGCATTACCAAGTGGGCTGCCCGTGCCTTGGGGGATCTCGGGCCATGTTTGCCGGCAACGCGAATAAGCAGATTGATGGCCCTTGTACAACAATTTGCCGGTCTTTAATGAGAGATTCGTGTGGAACACGTCAATAGAGAAGTCGGTTAGGCACTACTTTTTCATTTTTTCTGCTTGACTTTTCGTCCGGCATTAACATGCGTTGAGGCTTCCGAGGACGAGGACGAGGCTATTAACTTTGATGAAAACGTTTTTCATGTTGCTGCAGACGAACATGAGCAAATTGCTGAATCACGACACCATTTGACTAATCTTGTTGCTTAACGTGAGCATGTGTCCGAGGACATGGGTCATGCACTTGTCTTTCGTCGG